AGTTCCCTGACCAGGGATTGAACTTGGGCTCCCAGCAGTGAAAGCGCAGAGTCCTAACCACTGGACCACCAGAGAATTCCCACCTTTCTCTTTTTTAAGACAGACATAGATTAGGCTTCAGAAAGAGTATAGCACAACTCGTTATGACATTAGATTCAGCCTTGGTTTTGACAAGCAGGCAGAAGTATTACCATAAAATAGCTTTATTTAGTTATATATATATATACTATATATATATAAAACAAAGGATAGACTTTGCAATGCAAAACTGGGGAAAAATACATTTATATTATTTTTATAGGTATTCAAATTATATTATTGTCCCAGAAGTTTCTTTCATTCCAAAGCTACTTGATTCTATTTCAGACCTAGCCTATGTTGTTAACCTATTTCTACTTCTGTATAAACTAAAAAAAATAGCTGCCAACATTTATGGAGGGCTTACTATGTTCCAGTCACTGTTCCAAGTGTTTTATGTGTTTTAACTCATTTAGTCCAACAACCCTATGAAGTAGCTACCAATATCTTCTTTTTTTTTTTAAATAGATGAGGCACAGAGAGGTAAGTAACTTGCCCAAGGTTTATCAGCCATGGAGCTGGAATTCAAATTCAGGCAATGTGTTTCTAGAAAATATGCTTTTAACCAACCACTAAGCTGTATTGCCTCAGCTAAGTAAACCGACCAAACTAATATCAACAGTGATAAAACAGACAAAATAGATAGTGATCATTTAATTAAGATAATTCTTGAAATTACATGCTTACATTTTCCTTAGGAATTAAAAACTTATAAATGAATTTTTAAATTATAAAAGTAATATATGTTTATGGGAAAAATTCCAACAGTACATAAAATTTCTAAAATCTTTTGTCCATTTCTATTTCATTTATTAAATAGACTATTTTTAGAACAGTTTTAGATTTGCAGTAACATTGAGAAAATAGTACAGAGAGTTCCCATATACTCCTACACCCAGTTTCCTCTATTTGTTAACATCTTACATTAGTATGGTACATCTGTTAGAGTTAATGAACCAATATTTGATAATAATGATATATTATTATTAATTAAAGCCCATAGTTTATTCAGATTTCCATAAATTATTTCTAATGTCCTTTTTCTCTTCCAGAATTGTATCATATTACATTTAATTGTCATGTCTCCTTAAGCTCTCCTTAGTTATGACAGTTTCTCAAACTTTCCTTATTTTTGATGACCTTGACAGTTTTAAGTTTTTTTTTTTTGGGTGTTTTTTTTTTTTTTTTTTTTTTTTTTTTTGGCTGCCTTGGGTTTTCGCTGTTGTGCGCGGCCTTTACTCTAGTTGTGGCGAGCAGGGGCTACTCTTCGTTGTGGTGCGGTGGCTTCTTTTGTTGCAGAGTGTGGGCTCAGTAGTTGTGGCTTGCCGGCTCTAGAGCGCAGGCTCAGTAGTTGTGGGGCCCGGACTTAGTTGCTCCGCGGCATGTGACCGCGGCATTTGAGATCTTCCCAGACCAGGGCTTGAACCCATGTCCCCTGCATTGGCAGGTGGATTCTTAACCACTGCGCCACCAGGGAAGTCCCAGATGCGGCTTGATTAGAATTTGTCTGATGTTTTTCTCATGATTAGACTGGGGTTATGGGATACTGAGAAGAAGCTAACAGATGTAAAGTGACATATTTCTTATGTCATTATCAAGAGTACATGATTTATCACTGTTAATGGTGACCTTGATCACCTGTCATAGGAAGTAGTTGTCAAGTTTGTTTAGTTTAATCTTTTCATCCCCCTTTCCGTATTGTACCCTTTGGAAGGAAGTCACTGCACATGCTTCACCTCCTTGAGGACAAAATATCTATATAAATTATTAGGAATTCTTTTATACAAGAGAGTTGTCTCTTTCCTTCCATTTATTAATTTATTCAGACATTTATTTGTATCAATATGGACTCATGGATATTTACTTTATACTTTGAGTTATAATCCAGTGCTACTTTTTAAATTTATTGCTCAAATTTTTCCACCTTTTGCCATTGGGAGGTCTTTCAGTTGGTTCCTATGCACCCTTGGCATACCCTCTTCAATGTGAGGGTTTTTTTTTTTTAAGCTCTTACTTTCTGGCATTACAAGATGCTCCTAACTCATCTTGTGTATTTCCTGACACAGTCCTAGAACCAGCCATTTCTCTAAGGAGCCCTGGTTCCTTTTATTGGAGAATGGTATTAGAAGCCAAGATCAGGGTGCTAGGTATGTTTGTTTCTACTGGGGCATTATTTCTTTTAGGCCCTTTCACCTGATGAAGAAAAGAAATATATGTATGTGTACTAACCTGTGTATATACACACATCTATAAATATTTCTAGCCACCTATATCTATAATAAACTAAATATGAAATCTTACAGAAGTATCCAACTCTAATCTATCACCACATGGATCATTATAGCCTCCTCTCCCTGCTTATTTGTAAATATCCATTCCAACAGTGAGATTCCTGGCTCCCACCATCCACCATCCAGTTACCTAGTTATTCACTTCCAGGATACATGTATAGCAATATCAACATTTTTAACTTGAATCTTCATTGAAAACACTTTATCAACTAGAGTACAGTGCTTATGTGCATTTCCTTTGCCTTTAATCTTATAGACTCCAGTCACTTCCAAAGCTGCTTAAGCCAGCACCTAATCGCCTGTGTTTCTTTTTCTATTATTAAAGTTTTGTGATGAATGAGTTGGTTTTTTTCCTGAAGGCACTCTGTTCTCCTTCCATCACTACCTGAACTATTCTTTCTTTACCCCTTCCTGGGATACTCTTTGCCCTAATATACCCAGCTCCCCACCTTGCACTCACCTTGCCTGCTCCTCTTATACTACTTATTTCTCTCTCTTGATAATGCTGTTAATGAGTGGAATATTTGATAGATGATAGTAGAATTACTTGTTTTTGTTTTTTATCCTATAGACAATTTTTCTAGTGATTATCTTTTAACATTTCTGGAAAAAAATTGCATAATTATAAAACACTTGTTTTTTAATTTAAATCAGCATCTTTCTTTTTTTTTTTTTTTTTTAGATGTTGGGGGTAGGAGTTTTTATTAATTAATTAATTTATTTATTTATTTTGCTGTGTTGGGTCTTCGTTTCTGCGCGAGGGCCCTCTCTAGCTGCGGCAAGCGGGGGCCACTCTTCAGCGCAGTGCGCGGGCCCCTCAGTATCGCAGCCTCTCTTGTTGCGGAGCACAGGCTCCAGACGCGCAGGCTCAGCAGTAGTGGCCCACGGGCCTAGTTGCTCCGCGGCATGTGGGATCCCCCCAGACCAGGGCTCGAACCCATGTCCCCTGCACTAGCAGGCGGACTCTCAACCACTGAGCCACCAGGGAAGCCCTAAAACACTCTTTTAAGAAATGTTTTTGATTGTTTTTTAAGCTGTTTCAATAGGGAGACAGTATTAAGAGCTTAGCTTCTAGAATTATACTCTCTGGGTTCAAATTCTGACTTGGTAAACTTAGGTTTGCCTCAGTTTTCTCATCTGTACGATGGAGATTTTAAAAATCATCTACTTAATAGAAATGTGAAAATTAAATGAGATAATAGGTTTTAAGTGCTTTTAACAGTGCCTGGTACATAGGAAGCACTTAATAAATGTGCCATTGTTAAACACTAGTGCTGTGTGTAAGGTTATAGAAGTGAACATTACATCAGAGTATTGTATTTCAGGTGGTTGTCTTTTCAAACTTTTGAGGATTACTTCAGGGTTTTAAAAAAAATTATTTATTTCTTTGTTTTTGGCTGCAGTGGGTCTTTGTTGCAGCACGTGGGCTCTTCATTGTGGCGTGCAGGCTCTTCGTTGCAGCGTGTGGGCTTCTCTCTAGTTGTGGCACGTGGGCTCAGTAGTTGTGGCGTGCGGGCTCAGTAGTTGTGGCATGTGGGCTTAGTTGCCCCGCGGCATGTGGGTGTCTTAGTTCCCCGACCAGGAGTTGAACTCAATTCCCCTGCGTCGGGAGGCGGATTCTTTACCACTGGACCACTGGGGAAGTCCCTACTTCAGGGGTTTTACAGGTTAGGATGACTGTACTTTCTGGTTTGCCTGGGATGGTGATCCAGGGATATGCCTGTTTGCTGGCATGATTATGAGTAGTACCCACCTTTTCTCTTGCTAGAGTATTTTGGTTTGGAAGATAAATTATATGGTCACCTTATTTCCAGGGGTTATAAAACGTTGTCTGTGTCCCTCTGACCAGGGCTGCTGTGAAATGGGTAGAGCAGACTAGGGCTAGGCAGGTAGGGACTGGGAAAGAAGCACACCTAAGAGAGCAGCACTGCTCTGTTTCAGCTGCTTGTAGCCAAGGAGGATGTGGGCCTGGTAAAACCAGATTTTGATTTTTCAAGAGTAGGCATAAATCTGGAGCTTTTGTAATGATCCCCCAATTTTTCATCATTGGCAATTAGTTCAGTTTTTCTAAAAAGTACAGAATTTCATTGAACCATATAAAGATCTATGCATTTTATTGTATGTAAATTATATCACAGTTTTAAAGATGTGCAGGTCAGGTGGTTGTCCTTATATATATGCCTGTGAGTTGCTCATTTCTAGTATCTTAATGCAAAGAGTCAATTCTTACGTAGAAACTTAACATGTAAGTGCTATTTAATATTAGTTAATATATCAGGCATTATAGGGCTTTAACTCTGTTACCATATATATTAAAAAGTATATTATAGTAAAAACTGTAAGACAGGAAAAACTTGTAAAGTTGCCTCAAGGGAAATCTGAAGAGCACATTTAGACTGAGAAAACTGAAAAAGGTAGTGCTAAGTTGACCATGACTGTGAGTGACTTTGAAATCTTTAATGAATTAAAATGATTATGGATTTTTGAAGGCTAAATAAATTACATATAATTGCAGTAGTGAAAATAAAAGTGGACATACAGCAGGCAAAAGTTGTGGAGCCACTGCTTCTACCTGAAATGTGCTTCAAAATGGTTGATTTAGCAAATTAAAAAAATTTTTTTTTTCTTAAGACTGTTTTAAAGAAGTCATTCATATACGTCTGGATGAACTTCTTCGTGTTCTAAAGTCTGTAATGAATAAACATCAGAACCTCAATTCTGTTGATCTTCAAAATGCTGCAGAAATGCTTGCTGCAAAAGTGAAAGGTAAGAAAGATAATATGAACAGTGGGTTGGCATGGGCAAAAAGGATCCAGGTGATACATTTTCGTTTATAATGATTATAGAACCATCTCTCTTGGCATCTATATGATGTGTATCAGTAGGAGTTATATACACTTTGGTATTTAAATATCCCCACTGAGTCACACCTAAAATTCTCTTTCTTTTAAAAATTAAAACTTTATTTGGCAGGAAACACTCTAAAAATGCTAACTGAAATGAACTGAACAACTGTGGTTTACAATTTTTGAGTTTTTTGAAAGAATGTATGCTCTTTTGAAGTAGGTTATTAGGGTACAAAAAGTCTTTGTTATCTGAGGACAGTTGGTGCTGGAAAATGGCCATTTGTAGTTATTCCACTTAAAGGAGGGAAACAAATGGAGAAAAAGAAGACTTAATTGGGAACTTATTTTCAAATATGGAAAAATGAAACTAAAATTGGAAAATAAGTTTATCATATATGTGTATGTATATGTGTATATATATATATGTGTGTGTATATATATATTGCATGTGCTAAAAGAAGTAAGAATTGGGACATTATCCTTTGAAGAAATGATTTGCCACCAAAAATTGTTAGAATCTGTTATCCTAGGCTGCATTATATAAAGATTGAGGGTGAAGATTATATAAAGATTGAGAAGAATGTGACTGGAACCAGGGAGTTCAGTTAGGAGATTGTTAGAAATAATGGGCTAGATGAGGGTTAATAGTCTGATTTAAGGCAGAAGCTGGGGTGTGGTAGTCGTGGAATGTGCTTGTCACAGAAGAGGGGATGGCTGTTGAAGAAACATAGGACAGGTTGAATGTTAGGGATTAAGTTGAAGTTTGGAGTTGAGCACGTGGACTTGAGTGTTGTTGGTCTGTGGGTGGTGATGCAATAGGATGACACCAACTCAGAGTGTGCAAACTAAGTAGAGGACGAGTGTGAGATCCCAGGGACAGAGAGAAGATAGAGGAACCTGAAAAACACTAAAGAAGTAGGGAGATGGGGCTTCCCTGGTGGCGCAGTGCTTGAGAGTCCGCCTGCTGATGCAGGAGACGCGGGTTCGTGCCCCGTTTCGGGAAGATCCCACATGCCGCGGAGCGGCTGGGCCCCTGAGCCATGGCCACTGAGCCTGCGCGTCCGGAGCCTGTGCTCCGCAAATGGGAGAGGCCACAACAGTGAGAGGCCCGCATAACGCAAGGAAAAAAAAAAAAAGTAGAAGTAGGGAGATGATCTGGAGAAAGATGTTATGGAATTTTAAAAGTGTCACATTCTAGGAAGTGATTGTCAGTGTTAAATGTCAATCTGATAGGTAATATGAATTAAAATGTTTAACAAAAGTGAGTCACCATGGGTTGAGTAAGGAAATGAAAGCCTTCTTTGGGCAGAGGGATTACCTGTCCTGAGCCTCAGAGGTCAGGTAGGCATTAACCGGGTTAGAGTGAGGATTGGCACTGTGATAAAGGGTGCTTATATGAGAACTCTGGATGTGAAGATCACAGGATGTGATTAATGAACATACATGTAGAGAGGGCAAAGGGCAAGTGTCAAGGGGATGAGGCAGGAAGAGAAAATAAAAACCTTGTCAATAAAATATAGTCCATATACTTAAGAACTGCCTTCCCTACTTTTTATGTAGATTAATCATGTTTGCATGGTTCTCTTTTTTCTGTATTTCAACCACTGAAAAAAATGTAGATGGCTTCAAAACGGATAGCTTCTGTTGTGACTCTTAAAAATGCTTAGTAACCAAATTTGTTTTAAAATAGATTGTTTGTAAGTGCAATTTAACTTAAGTTAGGGAAATTTGTGTCTGTAGATAGTAAAATTTCCATGCTTGGAAATAGCACCACAGTTCATTCAATTGTTGTCAGTAGCTATTGTGTGCAGTCAGGATGTCCTGGGGAAGGAGTGTGTCTGTTGATGTCCACATTCCAGAAACAGACTTGAAGAAAGTGGCCTCTCAGCTGCCTTATAGATCTTTTTTTCTTTGAGGTAAAGCAATCTTTTGAGTATTATTTCCCTCTAAGACTGTCTTTACTCTTGGAATTATTGTTACGATTTTACTTTTTTGTTGGATGAAATTTTAAAACTTACTTCGTTGTTGGGGAACTTACTCTGTTTCAGTAGGACTCCATGATGCTAGAAAACTTTAAAAATTGTGTTTTCTATGGTGTAAGTTTAAGTTTTTAAATAAACCACCCCCCATCTTACTGTTGAGGCCATGTAAAAATATCATTGATAACCCAAATGAAAAATATTCAGTAACCTGGAAAATTGATGTCAAATTGGAGCTTATTTAATTCTTTCATTGAATGGTAATTTTGTTTTCAAACCCTGGAAAGGCAAGGGGGAGGTAGAAACCATTTTTGAATGTCTATCTTGTGGCAATCTAAATGTTTTGGATATGCTGTCTACTTTCATGTTTTCAGAAAACTTACAAAGGTACATTTTTACTTCTATATTAAAGAGGAAAACTTAAAAACTATTGTATATTATGATCAGAAAGCTGTCAGGAATGTGATCATTTTGTCTTAACCTCCTAATTACATTTAAAAAACAGTGGTAACCTGACTTGCTTTGGAGATCTTGCAACTGTCAGATGCATTTTGCAAATATACCAAACCATTAAAAAATAACATATACAGAGTAATAACTTTAGATCAGGGAGGTATAATCTTATTTGTGCTGCTGCAGGTTTGAATGCATGAAACCTATCCACTTCCTATGCATAATAAGAATAAGCGCATTGGAATAAACTTGAAATCCTTTAACATCTCTTATTTTTTATTTTAAATGTAGAATTTACCTTTTAATAACTTTAAAAGAAGAATCCTTAGCTTTTCCCCATTCATTCTAATAGTGATTTGTATTTCCTGTGTCTCCTCTTGTTTCCAAGCAGGAAGTTCAGTCTTACAAAATATTTGCAATATGGTACGAGAGATACAGCTTATTTGTGAAGTAGATGAAGGCATCGTAGCTCTCAGTAATTTATTGTGTACTTAGTATTTGTGTTTTCATCATTTAGAAGTATTCTGGTAAATCTTATTTGTAATATAATTTAAAAGGACCATTTTTAAGGTTTTTCATGATTTGTATTTTGCCCTATATTTAAAAATTGGAAACAAAAAAGAAAAATAAGCTTTAATTATGCATCCAAAAATTGTAGATACCTCATGTTTTCTTTCTGTTTTGAAGCTTAATTTTTTAATAGGCAATTCATTCACGTGATTCATAGTGCAAACGGTATAAAAGAGTATTCAAACAGTGAAGTGTCTCTCTACCTCAGACCTTAGCCACCATTCCTTTCCCTAGATAAGCAACAGCTATTACTGGTTTTTTGTGTATCTTTCCAGAGACATTATACACATATAGAAGCAAACATAATATGTTCTCTTCTTTACACAAAGGGTAGCATTCTGTTCCTTGCTCATTGTTCTGAGTTATCTGTATATAAAAAGTCTTCTTCTTTTGTTGTTATTTGTTTTGTTTTTTCAAAGCTGCATGATAATCCATTATACTGATGTACTATAATTAATTTAACCAGTTCACTACTAATAGATGTTTGGATTGTTTCCAGTTTTTTTTGGTTACGAACAGTGCTTCAATGAATAGCCCTGTATATTCCTAGGTGGGTAGTTACTGGAACAGAGCGCATGTGCATTTATATTTTGTATATTGCTAAATGCCCTCTGTAGAGGTTCTGTCCTTCTGATAGCCATGCTGAAGAAGCTGATTTCCTACCCCTTTGCCAACAAAGCTGGTTACCAAACTTTGTTATCCAATCTGATAGTAAAAACTGGTATCTCAGTATAGATTTGATTTGCATTTGCCTCATTTTGAGTACAGTCGAGTATCTTTTAATATGTTGCAGAGTCATTTGCACATCCTTTTATGTGACTTGACTGTTTATTCATTTTTTTTTCTCGGTAGTTGGTCTTTTTTTAGTATTGATTTATAGAAACTTCATATAAGTGAAATTAGCCCTTAATCTTTGATATAAGTTGCAGATTTTCTTTAGTTTGTTTTTTTATCTTTTGATTTGCTTATGGTATTTTGTTTTATTTTGCATTTCTATCTCAATCTTTTATGTGCCTTTTGCATGCTTTTTGAGTATTAGGTAAGGATTTCCCTGCTTGGAGATTATAGTAGCATTCTCCACTGTTTTTTCTTCTAATGTTTTCATGGTGTTATTTTTTTTTTTTTTTTTTTTTTTTTTTCCTTGCGTTATGCGGGCCTCTCACTGTTGTGGCCTCTCCCATTTGCGGAGCACAGGCTCCGGACGTGCAGGCTCAGCGGCCATGGCTCACGGGCCCAGCCGCTCCGCGGCATGTGGGATCTTCCCGAAACGGGGCACGAACCCGCGTCTCCTGCATCGGCAGGCGGACTCTCAAGCACTGCGCCACCAGGGAAGCCCTTCATGGTGTTATTTATTAAATTTAAATCTTTGATACATTCTAGAGTATCTATGTTTCTAGCTAATTTATTGAATAATTCATATTTTCCCCATTGGTTTGAGATGCCATCTTTATCATAAACACACTAAATTGTCACATATATTTATTTCTGGACCTTATTCTGTCCCCTTGATTTGTTTAGTTATGTGCCAGTACCATACTGTCTTCATTGTGGTTTTATAGTATGTTTTAGTGTCTGGTTGGGGTAGCTTCTCTTTCCATTACTCTTTTTGTTCAGGATTTTATTTTTCCATCAGGATTTTTGAATTGGCTTGTCTAGTTCCAAAAAATACCTATTGGTATTTTGAGGGTGATTTGAGTTAAATATGTAAATTTATAAATTAATTTATAGTTAAGTTTATGAATGTATAAATTATAGTTAATTTATAATTAAATTTATAAATAAAATTAAGGAGAATTTATATACTTAGCATTTCTATCTGAGAATACGGTATGCATTTAAGTTCTTCAGGTTGTCTTTTTTTGTTTCTCAGAAGCAATGTGAAGTTTTCAGTTTATAAATCTTGTAGCTTTTGTTTTGTTTTTCTCCCTAAGGAATTTTCCCTGTGCACATAGTGAAAACTTTCTCCCATTGAATCTTTTAATTCGGTGGTTTTCAAACTTTGGCTTTTGATTTATGACATCGAGTTAGTGAATTTTTACCAGCATTTTAAAATATGAAAGAGAACAGAAAAGAAAAATCAGAGTGTAACACTCATTGTATAAGACTTAAGGATATTTCAGAAACTTTGTAGGTGTTATGTAACTGATACCTATTATGTGTATATGGTATACTTGGTCATGATGTGATACGTATTTCTTACCGAAGGTTGTGGTAAAACTGAAAGTTGCTGTTCTAATAGGTTATATGTATGAAAGCTATTCATGTGTTTTCTTAAAGAGATACTAAATGTGTCTTAGTGCTCATTGTTGTGACTTAATAGGGAACCCAAGGGAGACAATTATTTAAACTTTAAGCAAAATCTTGATTTGATTTCGAAGGTCAGCTAGTAGAGGGGAGAGAGTGGAGACAGAGAGGCCACTTAGCAGGTTGGTAAATAGTCCAAAATAGAAGTAAAATATGGCCTTTGAACTAAGTCAGTGTCAACGGGAGTGGAAAGAAAGAAAAAAAGTTAGAGGCATTTTGGAAGCAAAACTAATGAGCTAAGGAATGTACGGAAGAGAGTAGGCTTGAGGGGCAGAGTAGATAGGAAGAGATGAGAGTTCAGTTTAGTACACGTTGAGATTGCAGTGCTGGTGGGTAAAGATTGGGAAATAGGGGGAGGAATGTATCAAACAGACCATCGAAAATATGGGTCTGGAGCTCAGAGGGTAAAACTAGACAGGTAGTTCAAGGATTCATTCCGTTAAAGGTATTGAAAGTGGATGAGATTCTCTGGGGGTAATGTATAGAGAAGAAGGCCAAGATGAGAACTGCCGGCTGAGGGGAAACAACTGTATGAAGCACAGATCAGATGTAGAATATGGGGGTGCTCTTATTTACTAAATACCAAGCACTGTACCCCAGGTGTTTTACATGTGTTTTCTCAGTTGTTCCTTTCAGTAACATGCCATTTTACATATGGGGAAATTGAAGTTAGGTGATGTATCCAGAGTAACACAGGAAGTGGTAAGGGTCAGATTTAAACTCAGGTTTGAAACTCTGAAGCCTTGCATTTTCTAGTTGCTATAATGTATTGCTTCTAAGCAAAATGCTTCAAGATAGAAGGAAATGGTTAATATTTGTATTAATAATAGCTGACATAATATATTGAGGATGTACTTACTGTATGCCAGATGCTGTTAAGCTCTTTACATGGATTACCCATTAATCTTCACTGCAAATTATTCTTATATCAACTCCCATTTTGCAGATAAGAAAGCTGGGACAGAGAGTGATTTGTCCATATGTATGAAGTGGTAGAGTTGTTCAGAGTTGCAGAACAGTGAAGAACGATGAAAACTTAGAAGGAAAAAGACTTCCAAGTTTGACTAAAACAGTTGGAGGTTATTGTTGACAGTGTTGATCAGTGGTATTGAGTGAAAATAACTAACATTTATTGAGCATTAAATCTTCACAGTTCATTAAATCTTCACAGTGTTTCTCAAAATACATATTATTATCCCCATTTTACAAGTGAGGAAACTGAAGAACAGAGCAGTCAAGTTACTTAACCTCGTTAAGAGGCAGATTTAGGATTTAACCTAGGCAGACTGGCTTTGGAACCCATCCTTTTAACCAGGGGTGCACAAACTACTACCAGTGGGCCAAATCTGACCTGCTGCCTGTTTCTGTAAATAAAGTTTTATCGGAAACAACTACTCTTATTTGTTTATGTTTGGCTACTTTATACAGAGTTGAATAGTTGCAACAGATTACATGGCCTGAAAAGTCTAAAATATTCGCTATCTAGCCCTTTACAGAAAAAGTTTTCCAACCCCTGCTAACCATTCAACTGGATGAAAAGCCAAATCCTGGTGAATTGTCATCATCTATTTATAAAGTTTTAGCCGTAAAGAAATGCTGAATTAGATAGGATGGTAGCTTTAAGAAGAAATATAGTAAATTTAATTTTTTTCCTGTAGAAAAGATTTGGGTATGTTGTTAGTAGCATAAGAAAAAATGTCAGTTAGTAGGAGATAGTGAAGTTATGAGGGAGGAGTAATGGTGGTAAGGGTTTTGGAGAATGCGGGAGAGAATGGGAAGATCTATTATTGGAAAGGAGCCAAGGACTTTTCTTTGAAACACTGGACAGGAGCAAAAAAATGAAAGGATATTAGAAGTATAGAGCTGTTAGAGCTCTTTTGAAGTAGAGGCAAGGGCCGTAATAGGAATTTTCATTAGATGGCTGTAACCTCATTTGAGTAGAGATGAAGATAACAACTGAAGATCGTTCAAATAATTGTCTTTTTAGTACTTAGAATTATTTCACTACTTACAGTTATCTCACAGTCATGTTTAGTGCTTTGAAAAATACGTTTATAGGAAAAGAAGAATAATTATAGAATTTTGCAAAGTGTTACAAAGTATTTTTTTCTTTAAAGTCTAACAGGTTAAAGTTGGGAAATAGGAGTAGGCTTTACATTTTTGCTGGTATTACATTATAAATTACATTTAAAGTCTACTTTCAAGTGCAGTTTTAAAAACAGCATTATTGAGGTATTATTGACTTAAAGTAAGCTGCACATATTTAAATTAAGGGTACGATTTGATCAATTTTGGTATGCATACTCTTGTGAAACCATCACAATCCAGGTAATGCATGTCCCTTTGTCATCCCTCCCTTCAGTGCCTCTCTGCCACCACCTTCACCAATATGTTGTGTTTTCATTTTCATTGTGTTCAAAATACTTTCTAATTTCCCTTTTTCTTCTTTGATCCATGGTTTATTTAGAAGTGTGTTAGTTTCCTAATATTTGAGGATTCTTCCAGAGATTTTTATAATTTAATTCCATCTAGTCACAGAACATATTTTGCCTGACTTGAATCCTTTTAAACCCATTGAGACTTGTTTTATGGCCCATAATATGGTCCATCTTGGTAAATATTCAGTGTGTGTTTGAAAAGAACATGTATTTTGCTGTCATTGGGTAGAGTGTTCTTTAAATGTCGGTCTCGTCAAGGTGGCTGATAGTATTGTTGAAGGCTTTCACATCCTTTACTGATTTTCTGTCTACGTGTTCTGTCAATTATTGAGAGAGGGTTTTTGAAATCTCTGGCTATAGTTGTGAATTTGTCATTTCAGTTCTATCAGTTTTTGCTTCATGCATTTTGAAGTTGTTTATTAGGTGCATAAATGTATAAGATTGTGTCCTCTTGATGAATTGAATCCATCATTATAAAATGACCTTCTTTATCTCTGGTAGTTTCCTTTGCTTAGAAATCTTTGTGTGTTATTAGGCAGTAAGCTTGGGGCAGTTGTAGAGCTCACCATGTTTGTTTCTTGTCTGTTAGGATTTTTGTTCTGTGTTGCCTGATAGCTAATGTCATGAAAACTGCTGTTTCCTATACTTTGTACAGATTTCTTTTAGTTGTTTCAGATATATAAGCCTGTTTTTACATCTTGACCAGAGCAGAAATCAAAAAATATTTTTAAAATTATTTATGGTGGTTCTTAAGTTTTTCTTCTTGTTTGTATCAGGAATATTTAGAAGAATCTGATGAAAGGTATGGACCTTACCCCCTCATATCTACAAAGGCAGGTTTTAAGTTTTTCTTCTTGTTTGTATCAGGGATATTTAGAAGAATCTGATTAAGGGTGTGGACCTTACCCCCTCATATCTACAAAGGCGTGTAACATCTTGGTTGTAATTTCATGAGGCTTCCAGGCTTAAGGTTTAGTTCATCCCTGCTTAGGAATCCTTGGCTTTCCAGGAGACATTTTCAACCCTAGTTGCACATCAGAATCACCTGGGAGAGCTTTTGAACAAATATATGTGCTTCACCAGGCCTCTGAAATCTGAATCTTTGGTGGTGGGACTCAGACTTTGTTTATAAAGCTGCATAAGTAATTCTGATGTGCAGGCAAGCTTAAGAACAACTATGTTTTAAAACAAAGCATAGCTTCCTCTCCGCTTGGTTTCTCTCCTTCCAGTTATTGGCAAGGATCCTAGGGAGGGTGGGATACAGGGAGCCGGTTGCTCCTTAAACTCAATCTGAGTAGAATGAGTTAATTTAAAAATTTTGCCTATTCAACCCTCAGATTTTGTCTCTGTAGATTGCATCTGGGCTTTTAAGAAAGGTGCATACAGATGAGGTTATGATAAGAAACCTTTTTCAGTTATGTTTCATAATTTTAACAAAATGCAAAATGTTAGACTGTCCCTGTGATAAACAAAAGACAGCTACGTATCAATTAAAATGGACCTCAGAGCCCAAGACCCAATAAGAAATAAGGGTATAAATAAATAGGAGTTTAAAAATTTTAAAGCTTTGTGTGTTTTTAATTGGTATGCTTTGTATATAGGTTTTATGCTATGTCAAATGTATATGTGACTTCAAATATTGGTAATTTGTAGTGGAAAATGTACTTCGTATTGACTTAAGTGACTTAAACAGTGCATTTAGCTGTTTTTAAAAAATGCCGTGAAGCAGTAAGCAAGAGAAAAAAATACAGAGCACTCTTAATGAGAGAAGACTGGTGTAACATGGACTGTGTGACTCAAGATCAATTGATTTCACATTGAGTCACTTTTTAGATGTGTCAAATTATGTAATGTGTGGAGCAGTCAGGTTGGAATGCTGGCTACTTTTATGCAAGGTGATTCTTTTGTATGATTTCTTTAATGAAGAACTTGAACATCATATTTATTTTGTGTATTAGGCTTTTCAGTTTCTGAATCTTCTAATGCTTCTAGTAGTAATGATGGATTTTTAAGGGATTAAATGACTTTGTATAAAACTAGCTTAAAGTATTTTCTCCTCATTTATTGTAACCAACTTTTCCCTAAAGCTGTGAACTTCACAGAAGTAAATGAAGAAAACAAAAATGATCTCTTCAGAGAAGTGTTTTCTTCCATTGAAACCTTGGCCTTTACCTTTGGAAATATGTAAGTAGAGGACTGTCATTTAAAGAAATTAAGGCCTAGATGTCTCATTGAGAGTATGTCACAATAATTCAGTACATACATGCAAAGTAAAGTATTAACTAGCATGAAATATTATCACAACTTCAGAAAAGCTACATTCTGTGTTGTTTTACTGGTGTATTTGGAGCTGTTTATAGCTGTTTAGAAGCAACATCCATTTGCAAGTGACTATGTGGTTTATGTGGATAGATTCCTGGCAGTTTATTTCTAAGGTTCTTACTTTTAAAAAATTTAACCTAGATGACATGTTGAATGTAGAGCCTGTGACAGAGCAATGTCATGACTTGTTTATTTCCATTTCTTTGTTTTTTTTAAATTCCCCCCTATAGCCTGACAAACTTCCTCATGGGAGATGTAGGCAATGATTCATTATTGCGACTGCCTGTTTCCCGGGAAAGTAAGGTAGGCCAAGTTTGTATGAAAGCAAAGATTTTAATGTTTTTAACTTAATATTTTAATAATATCCTAATCTTAATCTCAGCATTAGTCTTTGATAGTTGTTTAGTTTAGCAAAAAAAACAGCTCAGTTCATTTTAAATATGATAAATTATGGTCAGTTTCTGGACCAAAAATTTAATTGTACTTTTGAAGTGGAACCGTCATTTTAAAAAAGCATAGCTGGTAATTTTATAGTGTCTTATGTAATGAACCTGTATGTCTACGGTCCAAAATTTTAGTAAGTAATTCATAGCTGTTTTTCCTTCCTGACATTGTCGCAGATTTTAAGACTGGTAGAAAAATGATGCAAGAAGTAAAGAGGGTGTTAATCTTTCCACACATCCTACAGTTTGTTTGTTACCATGAAACACTTATTAACAGAACTGAAGGTCTGAATTCTCCCTGAGAGCATCCTTATAAGTATGTTAGAGAATTGGGGTTCTGATTCCTAACTGGAAGAAAAATTGCTATGAAATAAAAGAGCATTAGGAATGTATGTAGAATATTGCTTTAAAGATTTATACTAATTGTAGTAGTAATATTTTCATTTGACTAAAATGTTTTCACCAAATGCAAGATATTTAAACAAACTGCATTAGGGACATATGTTGATCATTTCCTGTTAAGGATTTCCGAAAAGGATTGGAATCCAAAAGGATTTCAACGAGTATTTGGAAATGTACCAAGTACCTGTTATTATATCAAAATAATATAAAAACTACAGATCTTTCTTAAATAATACAAAATATGAATGACTATTTAAGGCATTTGTTATATGTACTACAGTACTTAGAAAACAATTGTGACTACTTCTGACGTCATCCATTTGGTGACTGAAGGACTAAAGGAGGATAGTGTAGAAACCATATCAGAATGATGAAGAATTTTAAGATCTTTAAATATTTTGCTGTTATTTATGATTTTTCCTCAATTTCATATTTTCAAGCTTGCTGCTAATTTAGAAGGTGTAATAAAACATTATATCAGTGTAAAAGGGGTCTAAACAATTTAAATTTTAGGTGTAAATCATATCTCCTATTCGTGTACTTCTGTTGTGCACAGTATACTAATTCTTAATAGGATAGTACTTTTTCCTTTTTGCAGTTTTTAATTTACCCTAGAAATTGAAATCTAAAAATCCATGATGATATACTACTAATAAAATTACTTCGTTCGATGAAGAGTTTTGAAAAATATCTTTTAAAATAATAGTTGCCATTTATTTAATAGTGCTTAATAGATAACCATGCACTGTGCTAAACCTATATCATCTTAATCCTTAAAATAGTCTTATGAAGTAATGTTCTTATCCTCATTTTATAGAAGGGCGAACCGAAGTTAAATGAGTATAAATACACAGCTCAGTGTTATACAGCTACTAAGTGATGGAGCTTGACTTCAAACCCAGGTTTTACTTGATTCCTGTTGCATTGAATTCCTTCATACTCCGTATTGCCCAACTAAATATAAACGCTCACAGTTTCGGTAGATAACCTTTTCCTGCACTGTCCAATAAGGTAGCCACTTGTCACATGTAATTCATTAAATTAAAATTTTAATTCTCATTTAAGTTAGTCACTTTTCAAATGCTCATATAGCTACATGTAGCTGTTAGCTACCTTACTGGACAGTGCAGATATAGAACATTTCCATCATCATAGAAAGTTCTGCACTAAGCTGTCCAAAGGACTTTCAGAGACAGATTATCATATAATAAAATGGTAAAAGATGGCTGAAAGAGAGAGGTCTTTGTCTTCTATTTAGATAGCAGTCTGTTTAGATTGCGTCTATAACTTGCTGACTGATATTTTTGAGATCTGCAGAATTTAAAGTTTTGAATGGATTCATTAATGTTAACTAATGCTGTTAGTAAACAATGAGGTTATTCATTCTTGGACCTTGAGAACTGCTGTTGTAAAAAGCTATATAATTCTTATTAAATGTTCTGGCATTTAAACAGATTTCTCAGGCCCTTTGAGTTCTAAATGCTTGAAATTCTTTAGTAGGAATTATGTCAGAGTAACAAATTAGAGTGAAAAAATTTTGAAGCAAAGTTCTGTTATCTTCTGCTCTAATCTTAAATTTGTTTTCTTCCATGTTTTAAGTCTTTTGAAAATGTTTCTGTGGAATCAGTGGACTCATCCAGTGAAAAAGGTAAATGCTTGAGGTACTTAAAACTTTAGTCAAACTTTTTACAGTTACTTTTGATAAATGTTTTGGATTACTTAATCTCTCCTTGCGTAGTAACCTAAAGTATTCATTTCAGACATAAAATGAATGATGTGTGAAGTTTTACATATAAAACTTAAGGAAAAAAACCTGCTAGAGTAGATAGATAATGTGATGATAGAGACTGATCAAGAATTATATAGGGCTTGTAACTTGATGAATAATAGAAATACACATTTATTAAAAAAGATAATCTAAAACTATTTTCAGTTTAAACTGTGACCCTTTAATTATGAATTTGTCACATATCTTTTAACCAATTTTCATTGAAGAACATCTTAGGATATGAATGCTTCATTGTTTAGAGTTATGAGCTCATATTTATTGTATACTTACCTTGATATTTTTTTTTTCAGGAAGTTTTTCTCCTATAGAATTAGACAGCATGCTGTTAAAGAACACTAACTCTATAGAATTGGCTTTGTCATATGCTAAAACATGGTTAAAATATACCAAGAACATAGTTTCATGGGTTGAAAAGAAGCTGAGCTTGGGTGAGTTGCCCTTTAGGGCATCTGATTAACTTTGGAACGTAAGAACTGAATTGTTTGTGATTCATGTTCTACAGACTATAAATAATAAGATTCCAAGTTAGTAGCTCTTTCATTGTAGTGCATAAAATCATTGCCCATTTTCTCTTCTTAAAATAGGAAAGACTCTTCTTACAGTAAATATACTTATTGAACATTGATGTGGACCAACCACTAGATCTGGGGGCACCAAGACAGATAGTATACTATCTTTGCCTTTAAAGAAGTCATACTCTAGTGGGTGAAAAGAAATGCAATCAGATAATATGGTTAAAGGAGACAAAAACAACAGTAGCTGTCGGATCAGAAGGCAGTGGAAACATATAAGGAACATATTAATAGCTAATATTTTCCCAGTGTTTTACAGTTGACAAAATGCGTTCAACATCCATTATCTCATTTAATCCTTACCAAAACCCTGGGAAGTAGGCAAGACAAGATTATTATCCCCATTTTACAGTGGAGACAAATGAGATGGGTTTTGCCTAAGGTCAGCAGATTTGCCTAAGATCATATAGTATAGGGTATGTATAGAATTTACCCAAAGCCTATGCTCTTTCCACTACATTATTTGCTTTTAATAGGGAATGCCCATCAGATTCACCTGAATAGCCTTAGAAACAGATAATACACAGGCCTAGGTCCCATTCCCCCGGAGAAGTGAGATCTAATCAAGTGCATTTTGAAAGTTTCCCAGTTGATTTTGATGAGTACTACCAATTAAGAATCATAACTTCATATCATGATGCAGACTAGTATTTGTGATCACTTTTTAATTGGGGGATTACAAATAATTTTAGAGTATGGAGGGGGAAAAAATAAGTTGAATTTACCTTCTGATGCCTTCTTTGACCTTTTCAGAATTGGAGTCCACTAGAAATATTGTCAAGTTGGCAGAGGCAACTAGAACTAACATTGGACTACAGGTAAGTGGTCAGTGAACTACTAGGGTCCTCTGAAGAGATTACTCAGATGAGCGCCTTGCAAAATCAGATTAAATTTTGTACTTAACATAGGAAAGAACTTACATGCTAAATAACCTTTTTACTGACAAAATAAAATCTTTTTAAACTTATTAGGATACCCATTATGAAGAAACTAGGAAATCCACAGTTTTATATGAATGTTGATTATCTTGTTAGCTACTAATTTTGCTAACGAGGTTTAGAATAACTTCGTTAATTTTCTTCAGTATTTTTCTCATATGGTCATATTTATGAATAGTCATTTTTCTGAAAAAAATCTAAGCTTAAAAATTTCTCTTTTTGAAGAAGTTTAGTGGGGGTGGGGAGGATCTAGAACTCTAGTACATTTCTATTGGAAAATTTACTTTTCAATTTTAAATTCTAGGAGTTTATGCCACTGCAGTCTTTATTTACCAATGCTCTTCTTAATGATATAGAGAGCAGTCACCTTTTACAACAAACAATTGCAGCTCTCCAAGCCAACAAATTTGTGCAGGTAAAAATTTATAAATACAATATACTTTAAAAAAAAAAAAACAGCAGTATACCTTTAGAAAACAGCTTTTTTCTTTTTCTTTTTTTAAAAATACCCTTGCCAGCCTCTACTTGGGAGGAAAAATGAAATGGAAAAACAAAGGAAAGAAATAAAAGAACTTTGGAAACAGGAACAAAATAAAATGGTTAGTATTATAGTAGAGTTTCATCTATTCGTGAACATCTAAAAATCATCTGCAGTCTATAAGCATCTACCCTGGGAAGATGCATATCTTACTCTATAGTTTATCTAAAATGCAGTCTTAACTATCTTGCTGAATATGCTAAAGAAACTTGTACATTAGGATTTTTCTTATTCTTTATTTAATACTCTTTTTTTTTTGCGGTATGCGGGCCTCTCACTTTTGTGGCCTCTCCGTTGCGGAGCACAGGCTCTGGACACGCAGGCTCAGCGGCCATGTCTCACGGGCCCAGCCGCTCCACGGCCTGTGGGATCTTCCCGGACTGGGACACGAACCCGTGTCCCCTGCATCGGCAGGCGGACTCTCAACCACTGCGCCACCAGGGAAGCCCTAATACTCTTTTTTTTTCTGTGTAGCTTGAAACAGAGACTGCTCTTAAAAAGGCAAAATTGTTGTGCATTCAACGTCAAGATGAATATGAAAAAGCAAAATCTTCCATGTTTCGTGCAGAAGAGGAGCATCTGTGCTCAAGTGGTGGATTAGTAAAAAATCTCAACAGGCAGCTAGAAAAAAAGCGAAGACTGGAAGAAGAGGCTCTTCAAAAAGTAATCATCTTTTTTGTTATTTGTTATTATTGAATTAGCACTAATCTGCTAAGGCTTTGGTTCTCAAACTTTGACCTGCATCAGGACCACCTGGAACGCTTGTTAAAACAGACTGCTGGGCCCCATCCCCAGAGTTTCTGATTCAGCAGGTCTAGGGTTGGCCCCAGACAACCTGCATTTCTAAGTGCCCATGTGCTACTGCTGCCAGGGATCCACACTTTGAGAACCACAATGCTAAGAGATTTTTGCTTATCTTTTGAATTTTGGGGGTTGTTTGTGAAAGATACATCTTAGAGCAGTAATTTAATATTTTTTACTTGATTGTTCAGAAAGTTCACCATTTAGGCAACTGTGTGTATATGCGTACTTATTCTAATACCTGGTAGCAAGACTAGGCTGAAGCTTTGTATTATTTATGAAACATAATTGATAAATTCTGTAAGAAGATTATATAGAAAATGGTAAATATAAATAGAAAAGGCTATTAAATAGAAGTGGATGTTGATTTTATAGACAAACAGTGTACTAATTGTAAATCATACTTGACTGTTCATAAAAGATAAGTGTCCTTGAATTGCTGACCAAAACAGAATATTTCTTTTTAGAAATATTCTACTTAAAATATAGAATATTTCAGAACTTTCATGCATAAGCCTTTTCAATTATTTAAATCGAGCCGTACTAGAGTAAGCCTTTGTTTTAAAATATAGATTCAGTGAACCAGTGTCACTTTTTTTCTCTAATACTCCTGAAGGTAGAAGAAGCAAATGAACTCTACAAAGTTTGTGTGACAAATGTTGAAGAAAGACGAAATGATCTAGAAAATACCAAAAGAGAAATTTTAACACAACTCCGGAAACTTGTTTTCCAGTGTGATCTTACCCTTAAAGCTGTAAGTAATTTCTTCAGTATTTTAAAGAGGAAAAAATAGTCTATATATCTGAAGAAGGGAGAGGAATGCTTGATGAGTCATGATTCTTATGGGATTTAATTTCTGAGATTAATGGAAAGTTTAGACTTTAAAAGTCAACTCTCAGTTTTTAATACTAGTATGTGGTTTGCATTTCATTTTTTTTTATCTGGTTCTCCACTCCATGGATTGATGATTTGTTCTGTTAAAACTGAAGTCTGAGAGTTTGAATTTGCCTCTATGCCACTGTCTTTCTTGGCTTGGTTGACAAAATGGATTTAATCCCTGGAACTTCTATAAGCAGTATGAGATCTTTCTTCAGAATTTGAGTAAACTAAATATTGAAATTGAACCCAATGGTTTATTTGAAGACAAAGCATCCTGTTCTCAAGTGTTTTCATTTGCCTCTTTACCATGGTTTTTATTAAAAAATGTATGTGCAAAATACAGTCAGCCCTCTGTAGCCACGGGTTCTACATCAGTGGATTCAACCAACCATGGATTGAGAATATTCAGGGGGAACAATTTTCCAGAAACTTCCAAACAGCAAAACTTGAATTTGTCCTGTGCTGGAACTATTTACATAGCATTTACATTGTATTTACAGCTATTTACATAGCATTTACATTGCATTAGGTATTATAAATAACTTAGAGATGACTTAAAGTATACAGGAGGTTGTGCATAATATATATGCAAATGCTATGCTATTTTATATAAGGGACTTGCACATCCGTGGGTTTTGGTATTCATGGGTGGTCCTGGAAACAATTCCCCTCAGATACTGAGGAATGACTGTACCTTTTTTCGGTGTACATTTCACGAGTTTTAACACGTATATAAATTGTGTAACCACTACTGTCACAGTCAGGATTCAGAACAATTACATCACTCTAAAAAAATTTCCTCATGCTGACCCTTTGTAGTCCAACTCTCCACCCATCCCTTATCCCTGGCAAGTATTGATCTGTTCTCCATCTCTGTAGTTTGGTCTTTTCCACAGTGTCATGTAAATGCAATCATAGTATGTATCTTTTGGAGATTGGCTTCTTTACTCAGCATAATGCTTTTGAGATTCATCAATGTTATGCATGTATCAATAGTTCATTTCTTTTTATTGCTGAGTTGTAGTCCACTATATGAATGTACCGCAGTGTTTATCCATTCATCTGTTGGACAATTGCATTGTTTCCAGTTTGTGGTGATTAGGGATAGAGCTACTATGAGTACTTATTTACAGTTTTTTGTGTGACTATAAGTTTTCACATTTCTGGGGTGAATACCTAGGAGTGAGATTAATGGGTGGTATGGTAAATGTCTGTTTAACTTTATAAGAAATTGCCAAACTGTTTTCCAGAGTAGCCATAACATTTTTCATTCTAACCAGCAATGTATGAGAGTTCCAGTTGTTCTGCATCCTTGACAACACTTGTCAGTTGTTGTTTTTATATTTTTGCTGTTCCTAGGTAGTGGTTTTAATTTGTGTTTTTTAGAATGACTTATGATACTGAGCGTCTTTTAAGGGGCTTGTTTGCAATCTGTGTCTTGCCTATTCTTTTGGATTGAGTGGTTTGTTTTCTTATTGTTGAGCTGGCCTATATTGTCTTCCAGTCTGAAGCATATCTTTATTCTTTCAGCAGTGTCTTTCAGGGAGCAGAAAGTTTTAAGAAATTAAGTCTAACTTAATTTCTTCCTTTATGGGTCATGCTTTTGGTATTATATCTAAGAGTGCTTCATCTAAACCCAAGATCTCAAAGACGTCTATGTTTTCTACTAAAACTTTTATAGTTTGACATTGAGAAATGATCCATTTTAAGTTAATTTTTTATAAGGTGTGTGAAGTATAGGTTGAAATTCATTTTTTGCCTATGGATGTTGTATTAAAATTATACCCACGGGACTTTAATTTATAGAGGTGACTGAATGTTGACATAGAGAGGTCAATGTCATTGAAAAATGAATTACTTAGATTTCCTGAGAGAAGGCACACACTATGCCACATAGGGCCATAAAGGTACCAGGTTTGGTGAAGCAGAAGCAGGAGTGAGGGGAGAGTTGAGTATAAAGCCTTTATTGGGGTTTCTGGGGAAAGGCAGGGTAAGACAGGATAAGCAATAAAGAATTGGCTCGTTTGTGTAATTTCAGTGGGCTTTAGGGAATAGGGATGGCCTGCAATTGCTTGGTACCTGGCCCTGGGATGATTTAGGGTAAGGGGAAATATTGGCTTGGTGTGTGAGAGTTAGATAGAGATGGTTGGAGTTGCATATGAAAGACATGCATGTTCCCCGGCTAAGAATAGTCTAGCATTGGGAGGAGCAGTCTCTCCCCAGCCAACAAGCTTTTTAAGATATTAAAACATCATAAAATACAGAAAATTAAAAAAAAAGATTAATACAGATGTCCACTTGTTCCAATACTGTTTGTTGAAGACACTGTGCCATCGCCATTGAATTGCCTTTGCATCTTTGTTAAAAATCATTTGACCATGTTTTTGTAGTTCAATTTCTAGTTTCTCTGTTTTGTTCCGTGGATATATATATATGTGTGTCTATCGTTTTGTCAAAACACTACTAGGTTGATTACTGGTGTTGTCTAGCAAGTCTTAAAATCAGGTACTGATTTTACTTTATTCTTTTCAGAATCGTTTTGAGTGTTTCAGATCCTTTGACTTTCATAAAAATGTTAGAATCAGCTTGTCTGTATCTACAAAAAAATCTTGCTAACATTTTGATTGGAATTGTGTTAAATCTTAATCAGATTAGGGAGAATTGACTATATACATAGCATTTTAACTATGAGTTTCCAATCCATGAACACAGTATGTGTCTCCATTTATTTAGGTAAATGATAGTTTTAATCAGCATTTTGTAGTTTTTAACATGTAAGTCTTTTCCATGTTATGTTAGATTTAAGCTTATGTATGTAAGTTTATTTGGGGGTCTGTTGTGAATGTGATTGATATAAATAAATACATGATTAATGTGTACATGTGTATATGTATCTATGCATACATACATACACACACTTATTTAATTTCAGATTCACTTATTCATTGTTAGTGTTGAGAAATACAAATGATTTTTGTATGTTGATTTTGTATCTTGCAGCCTTGCTATAAACTCACTTATTAGTTCTAGGAACGTTTTTTGCAGAGTCATTGGGGTTTTCTACATAAAAAATCACGTTGTCTGCAAAGAGGGACAGTTTTCTTTCTTTCTTTCAAACTATTCCTTTTTTTCTTTTTTCTTATTGCACTGGCTGGGACTTAACAGTTCATTGTTTAATAGGAGTGTGAGAAAAAATGTCTTTGCCTTATTCTTGATCTTAGGAAGAAAACAGTCTCTCACCATTAAACATGATGATAGCTGTAAGTTTTTTTAAAGATACCTTTTATCATGTTAAAGAATTTCCCCTTTTTCTAGTTTGCTGAGAATTTTATCATGAAGATCTTGGATCTTATCAAATGAGGGTTTTTTTGCATCATTTGACTGATGTGATAATATAATTTTTCTTCAGTCTCTTAATATGATGGATTACATTTGATATTTGAGTGTTCATCTAGCCTTGTGTTCTTGGGATAAGCTGCTCTTGGTTATGATGCATTGTTCCTTTTCTCTATTGCTGGATTCAATTTGCTAATATTTTGTTGAGTATTTTTTTTCTTCTCTGTTAATGAAAGATACTGGTGTTATGTTTTTGTTTAGTTTAGTTTTTTTCTTATACTGCCTTTGTCTGGTTTTGGAGTCAGGGTAATTCTGGCCTCATAAAATAAGTTGGGAAATGCTCCTTCCTGTTCTATTTTCTGGAAGAGATTGTGTATAATTGGTGTTATTTCTTTAAATGTTTGGTGTCATTCCCTGGTGAAAGCATCTGGGCTTGGAGTTTTCATTTTTGGAAGATCTTTCACTATGTATTCAATTTCTTTTGATATAAGCCTATTTGAGTTAGTTATTTCTTTTTAGGTGAATTTGGGTATTTTGTGGAATTAGGTCCCTCCCTTTCATCTAAGTTGTTGTATTTATGTGCATAGAGTTGTTCATAACTCTTATCCTTTCAGTGTCTCAGTGTGCTGTAGTGATATCCTTTCTTTCATTCCTGATTTTGGTAATTTGTGCCTTCTCCCTCACTTCCTCTCTCTCTGGTTAGTCTGGCTACAGGTTTATAAATTTCATTGATCTTTTCTGAGAAACAGCTTTGGATTTCATTGGTTTTTCTCTAGTTGTCTTTTTAAATTTTTATTTCTGCTTTTTATTGTTTCTGCTTGCTTTGCGTTTATTTTGCTATTCTTTTTAGATTCTTAAAGGTAGAAGCTTAGGTTTCATCAAGACCTCTGCCTGTTTAATACAAATATTTAATGATTTAAATTTCCCTCTAAGCACTACTTATCTACATCCCACAAATTTTGAATTCGTACTTCCATTTTTATACAGTTCAAAATATTTTCTAATTTCCCTTGAAACTTCATATTTTACCTGTGGATACTGTAGAAGCTTGTTATTTAATTTCCAATTATTTGAGGATTTTCTGGATATCTTCCTGATATTGATTTCTAGTTTAATTCTGTTATGGTGAAATAAATACTTTGTATGATTTTAATTCTCTTAAATTTGTTATGGTTTGCTTTATGACCCAGGATATGGTCTATCTTGGTGCCTGTTCCATGTGTGTGCACTTGAAAGAATGTGTGTTCTACTGTTGTTGGCTGGAGTATTCTGTAAATGTCAATTAGTTCCTTTTGGTTTATGGTGTTATTTATTTCTTCTATATCCTTGATGATTTACTTTTTATTTATGTCAATTATTGAGAAAGGAGTTTTGAAGTTTTCAATATACTGTACATTTTTAATTCTATCAGTTTTGGCTTTATATATTTTGAATCTCTCAGTTGCTTATATATTAATGATTGTTATATATTCTTGGTGAATTGATCCTTTTATCTTTATGAAATGTCTCTTTTTATCCTGGTAATTTTCCTTGCCTTTT